AACTATATTCAATACAGTTCTCTTTTTATCTTTGCTTAAACGAGTCGTTTAAGTAGATTAGCTTCCTCTGCACGTACTAGTGTGCATGAAGTTTCGTGGCACCTGGACAAAGGGTGCCCCGTTACACATCTCGCACATCTCTCACTCAATAATTACCTTACTATCCATACCGTCGAGATTCTAAATTTCCATTGCGAGCACGTAAAATGAACGGCGTCATTTTTCTAGAGGGATGATCAGACAAGATTATTGTTTCTAGCACCCCACTTTTTACTAAATGCACCCCATCCACCACACTCATACAATACCACAATGTGGTTTGTACGACGAATATTACGCCGACCTATCCCTGTACGGCAATATCGCACAACTTTCGGTATCTTTCGTACAAATAACAAGTGATTTACCAAGCAAACTTCTTTTAGCACGTAATGGAGGATTGAGGGTCTTTGCTTTCGTAACGATCAAACGACCATGACGCACTTTTCACAACGTTCGAATACACCTGGGTTGTGATTGTGTAATTAAGAAATGCCAACACCCATGTTTCAGTCGAGAAAGATACGAAAAAGAATGAAACAAAGATTTACGTTTTACCGAACGTAATTGGATGCATGCGTCGCGAGGAATTTACCTTTTAGAACGAGAAAGCGTACTATACAACTATGTGCATTCTGATCGATACTATCCTGCATCAGCGTTCGTACCAGGTGATTGCCTGTCATAAAGGCTGATTGTTACAATTACTTACCATTCATACGACAGATGTCGATTATTGTGCGATAGTAGTCGAACATAGGCATGTGGGCGTGACATTTGTCGCAGAAACCATATTGTGGTGTGCGATCGCTCAGAAGGAGCGGTCTCTCACGCCTAAGATTTTTAGTGGCGCGCTCTTGAATCCAAATTTGTCACAATAGTGATCGCCGAGATTCCATAACGTTGGAATTACCGAAGTCGGCTCTACCATCGAATATTCGCGATGTAGAATTAGACGTGAACGGTAGTGATCGCAGTTGGGACGCAAATGTGTGACTTTGACGTTCAAGATCTCGCGAAGAGCTTCAGATGGCGCCGGGAGTTGGTGCACAGACTAGAAAATCAAAAAGCTTTTATCCGAAGGTAACTGTACGTCGTTGGTGGAACGCGGGGCTATCTCAAAAAGATCAAAGTGGTTAGTCAGTCACTAGAATTTACTATTTTGTGGGGGAACAGTCGTATGACAACACAACAGTCTACGTTCTAGATGACGGCTTATTTTACGCTGCTTTATCTAAAATTGACTCAGCTGAATAACTAATGAACCCAGTCGTTTTGCATTTGCCGTTGAATGGGAATCTATTAACATTCCTCATCTTTAATTTCCCTACATTTCGAAATCGTTGTTCCAAAGCCACACAAATTACTAATATTACTAACGCGTAGCCTGAGGCGTCAGTGGCCGTAGTCGCCACTTACGCTTGTACTGTACACTTCGTCATAATTTGTGCCTGCCTTCACCGCTTCTGCCGCTCCCGCTAGTTTAAAAGCGCTATGTTGCTTGTTAGCATACGTGATTGTCCCATACACATGACCATAATCAATAAACTTAATTGCTTACACGATCGACTAGATTCATCTTTATTCTAGCGCTTCTTCTGCTGGACGTCTATTCCAAGAATGCCAGTCTCGCCTGGGCATTAGTTCGCCTTCCTCCGCATGAAAGATTAGTAAAGACGCCAAGCATGCGGTTCAGGCATGGACTCATCGCTAATTGTTCTTGCTCACCCGTAACAAGATCAGCACAAAAAGTCTGAACAGCTGCGCAAGCGAGGAACAAGTCTATGAACTTTATGTAACTTGCCAATTTAGCGATCAATTAAGTGCACAAGTATCTTGAATTTTAGCGTGTAGTTGCTGCTGTGTACCCTAGTCTATTGGTTCCAGCAGGTACGACTACCAGCCAGGCGTCTCGGTTGACTCTCACATGTTCTAGCGTTTGGCTCTTAGACGCATCCAGTGACGTTTCTTTAAAACACACTGCCGCGTTTCATTTTTTATCAAGCTTGATCGGAAGCACACGTACATGTTGAATAACATGAACTTGCACTCTTATTTTGGCCGTCACGATAAAATGGTTCATTCGGTTTTTAAATGCTGTACACTGGTCCAAACAAAAAGCAATGTAAAAATGTTTTAAGAGTGCTAAAAAACGACACATTTTTTCATACAGCCCATCGTAGACATTACTAGTACGTCACAATTTACAGGCGCAGTAGATCTATCGGAAACCTTTGACACGGCATTTTAGCGTCCGTCAATCCAGCGATCTTCTGCATGAGCTTCTCTTCATGCACGAATCAAGCCATGTGCTTGGCATTCGACGTCGTGGTTTATTAGGAGTAAGGATAACTCTGAAAACGAATGCACCTGAGAGGTCGTATGAAACAGTTCCAGCAACGGATGACGACGTAGGATGATCGGACGTAATAGATAGAATAGTGGGAATCATTAGGTAGAACGATGGAAAGTGCTGAACAGATTGATGGGAAGCGCTAGACAGAATGATGCGAAGCAAATCGAATTAGTGAAGCTGTAACTAAAATCAATATCACAGAATCCTTTTATCAAAGAGCTACAGACTTTCTTTGAGCATCTACCAACACCGGTATGAATGAGCAGTGGCGTCCATTTGGGAATTTATCTTCGGAATGTTGTATCTGCAGAGTAGTTCCGCTTCAAGCTTGTCGATACTCTATGTCATGTTAAAAATAAAGTGAAAAATTTGCTATCGGGTGGTGTGGACGCTTCAAAGGATATATTTAAAGGGCTAAAGAGCTGTATTTGTGGCTTACGTACGATGTTTACGTAGGGCGGGGAAAATAAAAGCGGAGTATGTAAATAGCTACAAAAGAAGGGATTGAATCAAGCTTATTTCATTCCCCGCCCTCACTTCTTTCGCCCTACGTAGACATTGTACGAAATCACACAAATGGGGCGATCATTGTAATTTGATGGGACTAATGTGGAGCAGGCCAACAATTTTCATGAGAGACTACCTCTCCTCTCTCGTACCTTACAGTACACAATTGGATATAAATAGTGCTCTTGAGTCGTGCTGTGCGATCCCGTTCACTACTCACACACACAAATCGCTGTGTCTGCCTAGGAGAAATCTTCATGCGTCATGAAACACCAGCAAGGATAGAGTTTAGCGTTGCGATCGTGCAAGCACTCGGCCAACATATTGGTATCGTACCGATTATCACAGAATAATCAGCTGGTAATTTGTGCGCCAGTACATGGAGTCACCTTGAACCTCATTCCTAGCACGGCCGCACAGTCTCCCACACCTTGTGAGTGACCAACGTTATGATAGCGCATGACTTAACATTGCAGTACCTTTCGACATGCAGATGCTGGAAGCGAAAGATAAGAGTAAATTCTTTGCTTCGTTGTCAGAGCGAGGAAGTGCCCTATGGATGATTGCATAAAGTCATCACTTAAGTTGAAAGAGGTAGTGTCAGCAACTGTGTTATGACAAAGTGATGAGCAAAGGTGGACGAAGCTCATTAACAAGATTAAGCAAACATTATTGCAGAGCAAATGATTTGCACTCACTTTCTATTACAGCTCTCGAGCCGGCAAGCCTGTCAAAAACCGCGCTGAGTTAAATTCCAGCCCCGTCGCCTTTACAACATTCACGCCACGGTATTCATTTGGACTATTGGTTTGGACCCTTAACAGGCTCAGCGCAGCAGTAGTTTATGTCTCATTTGCGGCCATACCATCATGCCTGGTACTCAGATGTGCAATGGCTCGTTACGACAAGAGTCGGGTTATCTGCATTAATACCCCCAATTCGTTGACGCTTCTTTTGGTCCTTATCTGCTGCCGACACCATAATTATCGGATCCACTGCTGGCGCCAAAGCCGGTCGCAGCTGTATACCGTGACTCACGTCCCACAAACAGCGAAAACTCGCTTGTTTATCACATTTGTTTTTTACGCGGCAAAGATATCACGCGTAATTAATCTCATCCTAATTTTGTCAGTGCTCCTCCCGCCGCCAATGCTTTCACGCTGCGCTCCACCCCATCGCCAATGGTGTATTATAACGCATGACGATTACCCTCACGCAGACACAGCGATTTGTGTGTGGGTAATAAACGGGATCGCACAGCACGACTCAAAAGCACTATTTATATCCAATTTTGTACTGTAAGGTACGAGAGAGGAGAGGTAGTCTCTCATGAAAATTGTTGGCCTGCTCCATATTAGTCCCATCAAATTACAATGATCGCCCCATTCGTGTGATTTCGTACAATGTCTACGTAGGGCGAAAGAAATGAGGGCGGGAATGTAAATGGCTTGGCTATTAATTAATACAAAAGTAAAATTCCATATTGATGCAATCGGGGCCCTGACATCCGGTCACGCGCACCTATCATAAACTGGTTTTGGATTAAGTGAACTCTAGTCATTATTCAATCCATTCCTGTTTCCTTATATCTTTCTACTTGCTACCTACCAAGTAACTACGATCTTTAGGATCGCCCTGCCATTCTCCACCTCCTCGTTATAATCTTTCGCAAGAGCAATCCCACGATTCGCTATCTGCTCAGATATACTCCAAATGGCTTTAATGATAGCGCTGCGTACCTCTTTGTTGCCGAAGCGACGTACGAGGACTCGTGCCAGAGAAATCGATATTTCTTCGGGTAATTTGCCGTTAACCTCCTGGACAGCAGCAAGCATCGAGTCATACCTCGGGCTGAGAATGAAGAAGCCTATTCCCAGTTCTGTTTCAGGCATTTTTCGAAATGCCTTTTCAAGTTTGTACAACAAAATCTGAAGCGCTTGCTCAGTTTCTTCCCCGGGCGTCAAGGCCTTAGCAGCATTCGCCTCAGCCAGCTTAGCAGCGTTCGCCTCAGCCTTCTCAGCTGCCCCAGCAGCTAGCAGTTTCGCCGGAGACCGCATACCGGGGAGGCAACTCAGGCAAAATGGCATCTTAAAAGCACCTCTTTCTTCGATACGAGCGCGCGATGTCGTGTCGGACCGGAGAAAGCGACCGACAAAGGCATCCGCCTCTTCATTGCCGAGCGCATGGACTTGTAGTGGTTCCAACTCCGACGCCAACGCGATGGCTGCAGATAGCAGAACTGCGTTGGGGAGATGCATTGCACGACAGATGGATCAAAGCACTGACGACCGGAGGGAGAATTTGGAAATGACACGATACACCAGCTTGAGAATGCAGCGCACACGTCTCCCAGCATTTTGTCCGAAGTCTGCACGCGACACGTGCTTTTACTTGTACCACCATGACCCCCGAGTAGGAAGGTAGGAGTCACGTGCGCGTGCTTTGCTTTTCGGATCAGTTGAAAACTGATTCTTAGATTCGATATAGGGTCGCCGCCTTCCTTCTCGATGAACGGGTCGCATTCATCTGTAGCACAAGGAAAGAGAGGTTTAAGCAGACGTCACTCTTGGTATGCTGGCCACCTTTTTCTACGTCAACGACTGTGTAGCACCTGTATTGCGAGAGAGGCATCTGTATGACCAAAGAGACTACGACCAGGCTGACGTCGCCCAATGAACATGAGCGACTTTTCTTTATCGCCACGAATGCCTTGTCTTTCACAAAAGATTGCGTACTTTTCTGGTCGCTATGGATGAGAAGGCGAGCGACTTCACGCAATAATTGAACCTGGACCAATTGCAACAACGTAAACGTAGTTCAAGGATAGACTCAAATTTTCCTCAAGTCACAGCAGGTTGGAGAAGCAAAATAGCTTGGCCCTTCCGAATCTGTCGACCAGTGTAACTCCTTCTGTAACGGGGCACCCTTTGTTTGGGGTGCCGCGAAACTTCACGTACACTAGTACATGCAGAGGAAGCTATCTACTTGAACGACTCGATCAAGTAAGGTAAAAAGAGAACTGTATTTAATGTAGTCAAGCTATCAATAAAACGTTAGTCTTTATCCAACTACTTTAAACTACGTCGTCGTATGACGACAACCTGCTCAACACTCAGTGCGCGCGTCTAGCAGCGATGGTGGCAATCTACATTTGGTATGTCTTTATCAACAAATCTTGGAGCAGCGCATGAATATTATCCGAAAGGGGATAATGCTCCTTTAATATTAGCCATCATAGATAATATCGGTAGAATATTGTTATGCTAGACAAAATTCCTGTTGACACCGTTTAGTGTCAATTTCATGCAACGGGCTACCCCATAACATCACCCCCCCTAACCATCCATCACCCGTTGATTGAATTAGAATTGATTGGGACAGAGTGACCACCGTTGGATCACTCTGGGAAAGGGAGCACTTGCTGGTCAAATTCCATTCATTTGCCAATCCAACGCATGGTTTCCAAAAATCACTCGAGCTGCTACTGCAGCAGCAAGATGAGCGGCTGCACGCATGCGTGCAGTCGGAAAGAGTACTTCTCACGCCTCGGCAGCAGGTGATTCGTCATCCGTTGTTGTGAACAGTCCACGTGGTGAGTCACCGCGTGCGACAGGCACATCCGCTCCATCTGCAGCGGGTACCTCAAATCGTAATCAAGACGAGTCTGAAATCGAGCTCTTCTATTCTGGCGAGTTGGATGATGCATCCGACTCGAAGGCGACGCCTCACGCCTCGTGATCATCCGGAACGGACACTGCAATATCCAGGCTGACTGGCTCTGGTCAGTGCGGCAGTATCATGCTCGAGATCTTCGGATCGAGTGATTATTCCGATGAGTTTCCGCCTCACACAAGTCCATCTAACGATAGGACGCGTGGAGATGGTGGTGATGCACCTATGCATTACCACGAGCAAAGAAACTCAAGGGATTGGGGTCACACTGGTGCCAGTGCTCATGCTGGCACCAATCGAGAGGCCAGGGACCGAAATATCCGGCGCCACGCTCCTCAAGTGGCGTCTCCGAGGATACTGTCATCCAGAGAGTTGGACCGGTTGGCCGGCACGAATACCGACGGAACCGAATCCCGTTGTTTGACTCTAGGAAGATTTGCCCTCCTGATTCCAGCACGGAAACTATCCGTGCTGAGGGAGAATTCTTCGCCGATGCGCTCTTCAAGCATCGGTGGTACAATGGCAGCCTTGTACGAGACGGCAAAGCCTTGGTGCAGGGATGGAATGCCCTCATCCACAACATCGAGTGCATTGGCCGTGAGGCTTGGCTCGCCGAACTTGATGCAGCTCGCATCAGGTTTGAGAAACGTAACCCCGTTGGGGCGCGATACAAGTTGCACCGGCTTTCAAGAGAGGCAGGATTAACCTGTCTCTCGTGAGGTGATTCGTGTCTAGGTTGTCTGGACAATTCGAACCGTGCCCCTAGGGAGGCCTACCTCCCTAATGATCCCTACTGGAGGGCGCGCATTTCTTCCGAGATGGCCGAAGGAGTCGACGCTTTGCAATCCCTGTACTCGAGTTCGGGGAGGTCGTTTCCGACGGCCCTTCTTCAAGCGTAGCGGGTGGGTCCCGTCGTACTACTCGACGAGACCAAGTACATCAACAATCAATTGGGCACGAGAGTACCAGCTGTCCCACGCCGGTGGATAGCCACGCCAGCGGACGAGGTAACTCGTCCGGACGCCATTCACGTCGCGGTGGCTCAAAGTACGCTCCACTAGGAAGCGTTGACCACCGCTTGAGTCCACCAAAAGATGTGGCGGTGGGAACACCTGATCCGGCTCGAGGGTCGGATCAGCTTGCTGTTCAAGAGCTGAACCGTGTAACGGAACAGTTGCAAGATGACCTGGATCATGAACGTACTCGGCATTATGGGCTTGAGGGTCTTGCGAGAGATAAATACAATTCCTTAGCGCACGATCGTTCGAACGATCGTGCCGCTTTTGCGTTCGCGCAGCTTGAGAACGAACGTTCGACTCGTTCTCTTCGTGATGAGCTGGCTGTTGCTCGTTTAGACATCGCTGAGCTGCGTGAACAGGTCGCTTCGCTAGTCGACCAGACTGGATCGTCGAAACGGGACCACTCGAGGGTGATCTCGGCTCTCGACCGTGGAGGTGTTCTTCGCATCTCGAAACGGGCTCGTACTGATAGCACTGGCGGAGACGACCAACGTAAAACGTAGGATGTGTGCGCATCTTACGGGGCAGTTCAATCGTGTATGCGTTGCCCATTCGGCGCAACACACAAAATGGACCGATGTACTTGGGCAGTAATTTTCTGCTGCCCACGTTTTTCACTGCGTGTTTCGGTAGATTTACTGTAGATAGTAAAACTAGGTCTCCTTCATCAAATGAAAGCACATTTGATCTACCATATTTGTCCGCGCTTCTCTTCTGTTTGTCAAATGCATCTGCAATAGAGTCTTGAACGAAGCGGACAACCGCTTCGCGAGTCAGCAGAAATTCATCTGCTGATTCGTCCTTGTCAATAGCAGTGCGCTTCGTGCGCAGTGCTGAAAGAACGTCGTCTCACCAGTTAGGGCGTCATCTTCCTTACTGTGACAGTCATTGGCGATGCTAAATATACCAGCATCGTCGTCATCATCATCATCGATGTAGATCGCATCGACATCGGCATCCATCACGTCGACACCATTTTCGACAAGTGATGAGTAAGAACCAGATAGGTTATCAGTTAAAGCGAGTCCACCCCCCCTTAAACTAGAGTCGCACTATAAGAAGGCGTGTAAACATGGATGGCGTAGGCCATTCACATAGAACGGTATATGCATTGTCGATGCATGCACCAAGTTGTTGATGGCTAATTCTGCCATCGGCAAGAGCTCACTCCAACTCGTAAACGAGTGGACATACCCTCGAAGTATCTCTTCGGGGACGCGGTTGACGCGTTCCGTGCGACCATCTGGTTCTGGATGGTCAGAAGTCGACATCGTCAAACGTGTTCCAAGTGAACGGAATACGGATTGCCAGAACTTCGCTGTGAAGCGGGGGTCCCTATCGGACACAAGTTCACGGTGTAACCCGTGAAGTCGGAAGAAAGTATCGATGAAGACACGCGCACAGCCCTGGGCTGGGATTGACTCCGGTACAGCAACAAGATGTACCATCTTGATGAACCGATCAACAAACACAAGAATACCAGTATTCTTGTGGACGTCTTTGGGAAACTCGAAGACGAAGTTAATCGATACGGACTGCTAACACTCTGCCAAAATCGGTAGAGGCTGCAAGGATGCGCGGGTTGAAGGACTAGGCTTCAACCGTTTAAAAAACTTCGCAAGCGCGAATGTATTTGCACACAAGATCATACTGGCGGGGCCAGTAGAAGTCACGACTTACCGTGAGGTAAGTCTTTTCTCTACCGCGATGTCCACTTGTTGAGGCATCGTGACACTCATACATGATGCGCAATCGCAAATCATTATGAGCCGGAACGACGACACGAGGTGTGTCGCCGTTGACTGCTGTATAGTACAGCAGTCCATCACGGACAGAATACCGTTCGGTTGAAGAGCGGTATTGAGACGACAAGCTTTCAAATATTGATTACACGGATTGGATACGTAATCCATCAACCGCAGAAGAGACTCATCTTCTGTGTATGCTTTTCGCACGTCATCGAGCAGATTCGACGACAGAACACTCACTGATAGTGGCGCGACAGTGGGATCACCCCTTCTGTTGGGTTGAGCAGTCGACTCGAAATCGGGCCGACGCGAAAGAGCATCAGCGACGACACCAAGTCGCCCTGGTTTATACTCGACGGAGAAGTTTTACTCTGCGAAGAAAGACAGCCACCTCGCCATTCGTTGCAAGAGACATGGACTGTTTACGGCTGTGCGTAACGACGCATGGTCGGTATATACGATGAAGGGCGTAACTCCTAAGACACATACCCAAAACTTGGCCAGTGCATATTTCATGGCAAGGAATTCCTTGTCATGCACCGGATAGTTTCGCTCGGCTGCTTGCAGCTGACGTGATTGATAACAGACGACGCGCTCAACGCCGTCTGAGTCGTAGCGCATTAACGCGCAGCCGATTTCAATAGGCTGGCGTCACAGACCACATATAATGATCTATCCTGGTCTGCAATCGCCAACACAGGCGATTGCACCAAGCTTTTCTTGATGCCTTCAAAAGAGTGCTGACACTCAGCGCTCCATGACCACCTCTCGTTTTTCTTTAGCATACGAGAGAGATGTACAGTCATCTCGGCGTAGTTGCGCGAGCATTTGTGCAAGTAAGCCGCCAAGCCAAGGAACTTTTGAAGTCCCTCGACGTCGACTGGCACAGGCCAGTCGCTAATTGCCTTGATCTTTTCAGATCAGGGCGTACGCCATTTTTACCCACGGTGCAGCCAAGAAGTGGTATTTCGTTCGCTGCGAATATACACTTCTTGAGGTTCACGAGCAACTCATGCTCTCTCATCAGCGTAAGAACCTTCCGGACGTGGATTCTATGATCCTTCAAGTCCGTCTTTCCATCCATAGCCCGGCTATGGACGAAGACATCGTAGAAGTATCTCGGTGCAAAATCGCGCACCTATCGCAACAGGTTCGTAACACATCTGTTAAACGTTGCGGGGGGCGTTACTTAGCCCCTGTGGCATCACTAGCCACTCCCAGAGCATACCACTAGGGGTGCTCACTGCTATGAACGGGATATCCCGTTCCCGCATGAGGATCTGATAAAATACATTCATCAAATCCATGGACGAAAAGATGGTACTTTTGCCATACAATCTATGATTACGTCTTTTCTTGGGATCGGCGTTTGATCCGATACCGTTGCAGGTTCTATTTGTTTAGCGCGCGCACTATCTACCACCCTCCTGTGTTCTTTCGCACACAGAAGGTCGGAGAGCTGTGTGAGGATGTTGATTCCCTCACATGACCAGCCGCTAAATGATTGGCAAAGAATTGATCGATCGCTGTGACCTGTTCACGAGGCAGTGGCCATTGCTTCCTGACACAGTACTTCAAACCAGGTTTCAGTTCGATCTCATGCCGGGTGCCCTTTTACTTGGGCAGCTCGCATGGCACGGATTCCGGGAAAACATCCCTGAATTCAGCCAAATCCTTATACAAAGGATTTGCCTTCAAAGACTCCCAAGATTGAGACGTGTATCGCTCAATATGGGTCTTCTCATCGATGACACTCTCATCCATAGATGAACTGCTGAGAAGCCGTTCGTTCTCAGCAAATACTTGTGCCGACCGAATATCGGCGACGTACTCGTCCTCTGTGACGAGTACGCAGATCTGCTTGATCTTGTCACTGCGCAGATCTCGCAAGAATCTTTTCGATTCTAGCGTTGGCAACTTGACTACCTCCAAAGCTGACTTCGGGGGCGTCACCAGATCAAGTGTATAAGCGCCTACACTTGATCCGTCATTCACCAAGACATTCACTGTCTAGGTGATTTCCTGGTAAAACACAACCGAAGGTGGTTGGGGATACACACCCTCAACAGAACTCTATCGGGATTTATTGCTCTCAGGAACGCCGGAATTTTCTTCCAATACGTGTACTAGCTATGAGTGTAGTACCACAGTCACGTCCTCTTCGACCGACTCTCTTTCGATCGGGCTTGCTCTACGATCAACTATCTATTAGTCGGTCTCGCTTCAACGTGTTGTTTATACTGAACACCACTAATCTCTCTTCTCGGATGCACCCTTCTTGGTGTGCATCCGTGTTCTAGTCCACTCGATCTCTTCGAGTGGTGAAACTTCGGCGCATCCTGTGTCTCTACACAGGTGCCGGAAGCTGGTTCCACAGTGCAATGGCCTTCTACACTGTGATCTTGTGCAATCGTACTAACGACCGTACCACAAGTGAGGCCATTGCATTCACTCGTAGTACATCCACACGCTTGTGGACGCTCCAAGACGTTCATCAGATGGACATCCGATGAACAAACGGCAGGCACCTTCACGGATCGATGCTGCCAGCTAACCCATAGCTGGTACTTTCTAGGCCATGGCAGACCAAGGATGACATCGAATTTGTCATCTAAATCTAGTACGATGAAGTCATCATCGTACTGCTTTCCTTCTATCCTGTAGTGGATTCACACTACACGTTTGTTCACTGTTACCGATGCGCCTGTAGCAAGGGACACCGTCATCTTCGTTGGAGGGAACTCTCACTCAACATAGTTGAGCCTACTATCCCCTAGAGACTGACGTCGAATAAACTATTCGACGGCCCACAGTCAACTAGGGCACGAAGTGACGTTCCACTTGTCACTGCGATCTTCAAAGTGATGAGAGACTCCTCATCACTAGGGGCAGCAACACACAGAGACTGTGTGTTGGGAGCAATCTTCGTCAAGAGTCCAAAAAATTGTCTTGACGTTGCTGGATCAGCAGGGTGCTCCGCCCCTACTGACCCTGTCCGTTTTTCGACGGTCCGACTTGCTGTCGCGGCTTAGCGACATGGTCGGGCCCGCGCCTTGGACCTTTCCTTTGCCAACGGTAGGCATCACGTCCTGTCTTTGGGTGTGTTGCGGTGCTTGGGACACTACACTCGCGAGCGTAGTGTCCAATCTTCTGACAGCGATGGCATCTTACCGTTCACTTGTGACTCAGAGATCGATGGATCTCGCTCTCGTTAAAACAGAGGTCCATTGGTTCGGGAACTCCTGTTTCCTGCGTCTTGTCGGGCGACAGGTTGAAGAGTTAGCCTGAGACTACATCAGGCTGAATTCTTCTTGTTCCGCATTTGCTATCGCCTTTTCCAGCGTATGGAAATCCTCTCGGAATAGTAGGTCTTCACCGGCCCATCTACAAGGCCGTAGATTAACATGTTGGTGAGCGTGTGCTCATCAACAGGGTTCTCCGTAACGCTACTCGCAAGGTAGCGCAGATGCTGTGCGTAAGCGTGCACGTCACGCTTACCTTGCTTGAGCCTCAAGAGTGCAGAGCGTGCTTGAACTCGGCTCTCGGCGGCTCAAACGTCTCTTTAAGCCGAGACTTCAAGATCCTCGACGACCCAAACACGTTTGGGTCGTGAAGCTTGAGCCCTAAGGCCCAAGTCTTTGCTCGTTCCGTCAAATTTTACAGGGCGAAGGTGACTTGCATCTCGTCACCCTCGATGTGATGGGCCCTGATGGCATCGTCTAACTCGACGAACCATCTCAAAAGGACATCTTCATCGGTTCCCTTGTACCTTGAGATATCAATCTTCAAGGTTTTAGGTCGACG